CACGAGCTACAGAGAGAGGAAGGGGGTTCACTTCCTGAGGGGTAGCTTGGATGTGCCTCGGGGGCGGGAGAATGGTCAGGAGGGGAGACGGTCTGACGCAGCTTCTCCAAGCCATGCAAGGATCCAAAGAAAACACAGCTGGAGGTGGGGAGAGGGAAGGGGAAGCCAGGCTAGGCATGTTGACATCTTGGGCAGGAATCCAACTGGTGTCCTGTGGTCTACTTACTTGGACCATTTAGTTCCTCCCGCTGTACCTCAGTCTGCCAGTCTATAAAACAGGGGCAATGATCGCTATTTCAAGGAATTGCTGTGAGGATTAAACGCGGTCATTTAAGAAGAGACACAAGTGAGTGGAGTGGTTAAGAGCAGGGGCTCTGGAGCCAGACTGACTCAAGCAAGTTCCTTAACCTCTCTGGGTCTCTACTTCCTCATCTGTAAAATGGGTTAATGATAACCTGTCTTATAGGACGTTATGAGTTTTCAGTGAGTTGATATCTGGAAAGCACTTTTTGTTTGTTAATACTAGCACTTTTGTTTAGTTAATACTGAAGACCAGACACATTTACTGAGCCCTTTAGTGTGCCAAGTACTAGGCCCAGCATTTTACATACTTTTATTTGGTAAGTTTGTTTGTATGTTTGTTTGTTTGTTTTGAGAGAGACAGCACGCGTGCATGAACCACAGTGGGGCAGAAGGATAAGCAAACCTCCTGGACCGGTGGGGAGCCTGTCGTGGAACTCTATCCCAGGACCCTGAGATTGTGACCTGAGCCCAAGTCAGATGTTTAACCGACTGAGCCACCTGGGAGCCCCATATACTTAAAAAAAAAAAAAAAAAAAAGATTTGCTGGGGCACCTGGGTGGCTGAGTGACTTAAAGCCCCTGCCTTCGGCTCAGGGCATGATCCCAGGGTCCTAGGATCAAGCCCCACATCAAGCTCTCTGCCCCACGGGGAGCCTGCTTCCCCCTCTCTCTGCCTGCCTCTCTGCCTACTTGTGATCTCTGTCTGTCAAATAAATAATAAATAAAATCTTAAAAAAAAAGATTTACTTATTTATTTTAGAGAGAGTGAGTTGGGGGGAAATGGGCAGAGGGAGAGGAAGAGAATCCTAAAGTAGACTCCCCACTGAGCGCAGAGCCAGATGTGGGGCTCGATCCCAGGATCCCGAGATCATGACCTGAGCCAAAATCAAAAGGTGGCAGCTTAACAGACAGAGGCACCCAGGCGCCCCAGCATGTTACATACTTTATTTAAAATCTCACCACCGGGGCGCCTGGGTGGCTCAGTGGGTTAAAGCCTCTGCTTTTGGCTCAGGTTATGATCCCAGGGTCCTGGGATCCAGCCCTGCATCGGGCTCTCTGCTCAGCAGGGAGCCTGCTTTCCTTCCTCTCTCTCTGCCTGCCTCTCTGCCTACTTGTGACCTCTGTCTGTCAAATAAATTTTTAAAAAATTAAAAAAAAATCTCACCACCACCCAGAGAGGTAGGCAGGTACTAGATCATCCCCATCTTACAGATGTGGAAACTGAGGCTCTTGAAGAGATTTACTTTTTTTTCCCCCAAAGTTTTTATTTATTTACTTGACAGAGAGAGAGAGATCACAAGCAGGCCGGGGAGGAGGGGTGCGGGGATGCAGGCTCCCCGCTGAGCAGAGAGCCCGATATGGGCCTCGATCCCAGGACCCTGAGATCATGACCTGAACCGAAGGCAGAGGCTTAACCCACTGAGCCACCCAGGCACCCTGAGATTTACTTTTTAATTTACTCTAGAACAGGGGTTGGCAACCTACAGCTCATGGACGCAAATCCAGCAAGCAGTCTGTTCGTGTAAGTCTTGTTTATAGCTGCCGTGGAGGAGTTTGAACAGCTGACCGGAGACCACAGAGCCAGCACAGCCTAAAATATGTACTATCTTATCTGACTTTTAACAGGAACAGCTCTCTGACCTCTGCTCTAGAAAATGACAGGAGCCGGATTTGAACCAGGTCTGTGTGATTCCAAAGCTAATTAAATAATACTTTGCTCTCCTTGTGGTTTAACAATATCACTGTGATGGGTGCACAACAGGGGCTAGAAAAGGATTTCTGTCCTGTCCCTTTGAGGGCTGGGAAGTCCCTCCTTTCTTCTTCAAAGCTGGGAGTGAAAGTGGAAGGGATTTGGGGCTTCTGATTTCTTCATCTCTCAGATCAAGTGTTGAGGACTCAGGGAGGTTGCCAAAGACCCCCCTGGGCTGCCCAACTGCCAGTGTCACTGAAGTGTGAGGGCTGGGGGCACACGCTTCAGGAGGAAGGGGAAACCCAAGGGATGGAGAGTCGGGCTGCCAGGATTCAAGGCCAGTGAGTCCATCTTGTCCCTGAGCCCAGAGCTGTGTTTAGGGTCAGTCAGGCTGAGACAAACATGGGACAGGAGTCCCTTAAGAATCTGGGGTATTATAGATGTCACCTGTCCCCCAGACACACCTGAGGGCTCCAAACCAGTTTAGTCACTCAGCAAATAGGCGGGACCTCCTCCGTGCAGGCACGGTTCTAGGCACTAGGATTAAGTGGGGAACCAGATCCTAGCTCTCATGGACACAGACCATGTCTCCATTCACCAATACTTTTGTAGACCGATATTAACTGGTGACAAGATGTATAAAGCAAATAAGCCAGGCTGATGGGACTGAGAGTAATGGCGAGGTAGGGAGGAAGTCCTCTCTGAGGAAATGCCGCTGAAGCTGAGACCAGCATGACAAGGAGGGAGCTGTGGGAAGATCAGGTGGAAAGGCATTCCAAGCAGAGGGAACAGCAAGTGCAAAGGCAGTGTGGCCAGAGCAGAATAAAGGGGGATGACAGAGGGTGAGTGACAAGACAGGGGCACTCGTGTAGCATGCCTGGAAGTCAGGGCACAGAGGCCGCAGTTTATTCTGAGTATCATGGAAAGCCCTAGATGCTAACAAAGGACGCCAATGATTGGGGCTGACATTTTCTGAGCCCTTACTAAATGCCAGGTGCTCATCAAGTCTTTTAAATCCATTAACTCTTAAAAAAAAATGCATTAACTCTTAATCCCTACAAGCAGTCCAGATGTGGAAACAGGTCCAGAGAGGTTAAACCACTGGCCCAAGATCACACAGCTCCATTTAAAGCTTATTGGGGTTGCTGCGGAGAGAGTGACATGCAGGAAACAAGAATCTCCTGTAGGACATCCCAGTGATACAAAGATGGAGCTTGCATTTCAGTTAAGAAATTGAGAAGAGGGCGGGGTGCTTGGGTGGCTCAGTGGGTTAAAGCCTCTGCCTTTGGCTCAGGCGTGATCCCAGGGTTCTGGGATCGAGCCCAGCATTGGGATCTCTGCCCAGCAGGGAGCCTGCTTCCTCCTCTCTCTCTCTGCTTGCTTCTCTGCCTGCTTGTGATCTCTGTCTGTCAAATAAATAAATAAAATCTTAAAAACAAACAAACAAAAACTGGCATTCTAAAAAAAAAAAAAATTGAGAAGAGGGGCACCTGCGTGGCTCGGTCGGTTGAGCATCTGTCTTTGGCTCAGATCATGATCCCAGGGTCCTGGAATGGAACCCCACATTGGGCTCCCTACTCAGCAGGGAGCCTGCTTCTCCCTCTCCCTCTGCCTGCTGCTCCCCCTGCTTGTGCTCTCTGTCAAATAAATAAATAAAATCTAAAAAAAAAAAAAAAGGAAAATGAGAAGAAAGAAAACTAACATCTGCCAGGTTTTCTGCTTGAGCCAGGCTCCAGGAAGAGTGAGGGCTACTAGAGTTCAAAGGCATTAAGGCACTTCCTCCTCTGGATATCCTTAGCTCTTTCTTCCTTCCTCTCCTCAACCCTTTCTGTCTCATGTGCTTGTGGGGTGTGCCTCTCATCCGAATAGCCAGTATTTATTTGGCACTAATGGTGTGCCATGTACTGTGCTCAGTACAGCCAGGAGGCACATTTATTCTTGCAACGACCTTGTTGTTTCTGTTTTCAGAAGAGGAAGCTGAGTCTCAGCGCTGCTTCAGTAGGGGTCCAAGAATTGGACGAATTCCAAGAATTTGATTCCTGGTCTGTCGGACTCAAGATTCTAAGTACTAGCTACTGGGCTAGAAATACCACCTCCCACCCTTTCACAGTTCGTGGGTTTTCTGGTAGTAGCTGTCCAGTGGTCTTTACGTCTGGTTTCCTGCTAGGGTGGGTCCATACTAGTGCCAACCTCATAGGTTAAGATTAAATAAGTTCCTCTAGATCTAGGATGACTAACCGTCCTTGTTGGCCTGGGACTGAGGGGGTTCCCCGGAAGGGAGACATTCAGTTTCAAAGCTAGGAAGGTCCTGGGCAAATCAGGACATGTTGGCATTCCTACCTGGATGAGTGCTTAGTGCTACATATGTGTTCAGTGGACACTCACCTTTATTGCTTTTCCTTTCGGCTTTCATCCATTTAACAACAAACAAAGGTTAGGGTTAGCAGGCACCTACTCTGTGCCAGTCCCAGGAGCTGGGGACACACCGCAGGCAGTAGATGGAGATACTGTGGGGAGAACCTAGCTTCAAAGGTTCACACACACAAAATCCACAGTCCCTGGGAAACACCAACCCTGCCTGCCTCTGGGGTTACTCCAGCAGTCTGTGCCCGACCTCCTGGGCAGGCAACACTTGCTTGGACTCTGGTGGGAGAAGTCTCCAGGGCCTGTTAGGTCCCTACATAGTGACATAGAGACATTTGGTGGTGGTGGTGGTGGGGGTCCCCGGGTGAAGCCTGCCAAGAAGAGGTCTTGATGATTTTAGGTGGAAAGGAAGAAAATGTGCCTTGGACATTGATTTTGTGGGTGGTCCCAAGTATCCCGCACATTTTGCTGAATGAGGAAACTGAGGCACAGTGACCCAAGTGAAGTGACTTGCTCAGGATCATACAAGAAGACATGGGCATTTGGAATTTAAACCAAGGTCCCAGAGAAGCAAGGACTGTTGGGATTGGGCGGGCCAATTCCTGCACTTCCCTCCCTCCTTCCCGGCTTGGGTCCCCCACTTGTCTTGACAGCGGCCCGGCCTGTCACGGGGCTCTGTACAGCCCTCTCCACCCTCGCGGCTGCCAGCGTTCCGCCCCGTCCCCTCCCAGCCCCTGAGGGAGGAGGGGAGAGCGGGAGCGAGGAGGGGGGTCGGAGAGGCCCGGCATTATAAAGGCGGCTGGACTAGCACTGCCCGCCAGACCCCGCCGCCCGGATCCCCTGCGCAGCCCGCCGCCCCACGTGACTGCACCGACGCCCCCAGCTCCGCCGCAGTGAGTTGGGGCGCGTCCCCATCCACCCCCAGCCCCTCGCTGAGCTGCGTGGTCTACTGAACCCGGGTGGGGTAGAGATCCCATGAAGGCGGGCGCTGATATGGGGGTGGGGGGGTACCAGGCCGAATCGCTATGGCAGGGATTTAGGACCCGGCGGAGCCGGGAGACCGGTGAGCCCGAGGTCGGGCCGGCAGCCCCCTCTACTCCCCCCGGCGCGGGGCCTGGGAGACTGCGAGACACCCCCCAGGAATGCGCGTGCAGCCGTTTCCATAGTAACAGGCAAGCCGCGCCCGCCCTCTGCTAAAGGGAAGGGGGGGGCGCTGGTACCCGGGAGGTCCAAACTCATCACGCGGCGGGTGCACGGGGGGACCGAAGATGTCCCCTCCCTTTCCCCCGTGTCCCAAATCCTCTGGGAACCAGAGCGCGAGTCGCATCGCCTCTCTGAGCCTCAGTTTCCGCATCTGCCAAATGGAGGCAATATAATTGGTTCCAAGTTCCCTGAAGAGCTGTTTCGAGGGTAAGGATCCGGCCAGTCCCTTTTCTAGTTGGACAACCGGGGAGTGGGTTTTGGCGGCCCTGATGACTCCAGCGACCCCACCCCACCCCAGGCCCGCTCGCCATGGCCCTTCTCGGGGCCCTCCTCCTAGCGTTTCTGGTAGGCGCTCATGCGGAGCTCCCCGGCTGCAAGATCCGCATCACCTCCAAGGCGCTGGAGCTGGGTAAGGCGCTGGGCCGGCTGAGGGCCGATGAGGGAGGGGTCGCCCCGGCCGTGGGCGCAGGACCTAAGGGTCTCGCTGCTACTTCAGTGAAGCAGGAGGGCCTGCGCTTTCTGGAACAAGAGCTGGAGACCATCACCATTCCGGACCTGCGGGGCCGGGAAGGCCAATTCTACTACAACATCTCGGAGTAAGCAGGAGACCTGGGGGGCGGGGTCTCGGGCTTCGGGGCGGGGCCTAGCGCCGGGGGGGGAGGGACAAAGTGGGTGGGGCAGGGGTGTGACCACACCTTGGGGGCGGGACTCAAGAAACAGGATGGGGGCGGAGAGCATAAAGGCCAAGCCCTCCAACATAGGCGGGACCAAGAACCGCAAAGCAGAATCCTTGCAGGCTGAGGCGTGGCTCTTTAGCCACGGAAAGGGGGAGTCAGGAAACTTGCCAGTGGATGAGAGTGGGGTCTAGGCTCCGAGGTGGAGCTAAAGGGAAAGGTACCAGGAAACAAGAGACAAGAATTTACGACGGTGGGAATAGGAGAAATGGGATGTGCTGCTCAGCTGACAGAGAAAATCAAAGCATTCGGTTAAAAGAGCAGGTCAATCACTACAGGGTGTGAGAGGGAAGGGTGTGTAAGCAATCAGGCCTCTAAAGAAGGGGTGAAGCTCACTTTTAACACCTGGGTCGGGAGAAGCTCATCTCCAAGCTGTCCAAGTCCAGGCCCGGCACTTGAGGGGAAGTGGGAGAATTCCTTCCACCCACCTCAGCTTTCCCAGGCCTGGACCGGGAGAGGAGGGAATGAGTTTCCTGTGGTTGGGTGAGACCCCCTCTTCGTGGTCCTGAAACTAATCCTGAGGCTTCCTGAAGGGTGAAGGTCACAGAGCTGCAGCTGACATCCTCTGAGCTCCATTTCCAGCCAGAGCAAGAGCTGGTGCTACAGATCAGCAACGCGTCCTTGGGGCTGCGTTTCCGGAGGCAGCTTCTCTACTGGTTCTTGTGAGGACCTGGCACTGCTGGGGAGTGGAGGGTGGATCAGGAGGGCCAGGAGGCCGCGGGGCTGTGGGCAATCGTTTAGCCTTCCTGCGTCTCAATTTCTTCATCTGTGCAATAGGGACAAGCAGACCCACTTCATAAGGGTTTGGTAGAATGTCTAGTAAACCGGGGAAGTGAAGACTTATTAAGAAACATCATGACAGGAGGCTCCTGGGTGGCTCAGTGGGTTAAAGCCTCTGCTTTCGGCTCAGGTCATGATCCCAGGGTCATTGGATCGAGTCCCACATCGGGCTGTTTGCTAAGCAGGGAGCCTGCTTCCTCCTCTCTCTCCTCCTGCCTCTCTGCCTACTTGCGATCTCTGTCTGTCAAATACATAAATAAAATCTTAAAAGAAAAAAAAAGAAGTATCATGACGCGGCGCCTGGGTGGCTCAGTGGGCTAAGATTCTGCCTTGGGCTCAGGTCATGATCTCAGGGTCCTAGGATGGAGCCCCAAATCGGGCTCTCTGCTCAGTAGGGAGCATGCTTCCCCCTCTTTCTCTGTCTGCCTCTCTGCCTACTTGTGATCTCTTTGTCAAATAAATATATAAAATCTTTTAAAGAAAAGTATCATGAGGTATGGGGTGGGTGGGGGCTGGCGAAGACCCTGTAAGGCTGGACATTGACTGCCCCACCCCCCCTTGCAGATATGATGGGGGCTACATCAATGCCTCTGCCGAGGGTGTGTCCATCCGCACTGCTCTGCAGCTCTCCCGGGATGCCACTGGCCGCATCAAAGTGTCCAACGTCTCCTGCCAGGCCTCGGTCTCCAGAATGCACGCAGCCTTCGGGGGAACCTTCAAGTAAGCCCGATCTCCAACCCAGGGCACCCCCCTTTGAGCCTTACTGCCTAGTACGATGCAAAGTGCACAGACTTGGGAGCCAGGTCAACAGGGTCCATCTCTCAGCATCCTCATTTCCCTGCTGTGTGACCTTGGTCGAGTCACTGAAGCTCTGTGCCTCAATTTCCTCATTGGTAAGATGAGGATGATAATAGGAACTATTTTATAATTTTATGTTCTGAAGACTGTTTATTAATATATGTACAAATATTTAGAACAGTGCCTGGCATGTTAGTGGCTAGCTTCCTAGATAAGAGTAATTGTGAGGATCAGTATGTGCAGCTGGACATGAACTCAGTAATTGGTAGCCCTCACTACTACTGATAAAAACAATAGCATAATTTCAGGTTTGGGGCTGAGAAGGGGACTTAGTGATTGTTCTCAAAGAGAGTGGGAAAGAAAAGATGGTGGATTTATCATCTGGTGTTGGTATACTGCCAAGTTTTTATTTATTAAAAAATAACGTATATGCAAGTCCTTGAGGATTCATAAAGGAACTCAAGAGCCTAGCTGAAGGGACAAAATATTTGTTATTGGGGCTTTGAGGGAGGAACTGAGTCCTCCCTGGGTTCAGAAGAGGGTAATCTGGGAAGACTGCCTGGAAGAGGAAGCATCTGAGCCTATACAGAGGGACATACAGGACAGGAACGCTGAGGGTGGAAGGGAGGGTATGAGTAAGCATCTGGAAGTAGGGATGCTTACAGCAGGTTTGAAGAACTGGGGGTAAATTCATGGGGCTGGTGGGGGGCAGGGGTTAGGTCTTGAGAATAAGGCTAGAGAGGGGATTTGGAAACCCTCCATTAAAGAGGTGGTAATACAGTAAAGCTGAGCCACCTCCTCCCCATCTCTCAGGCTAGTGATTTCTCCTGGGCCTGGATTGGGGTAGGGCAGAGTCTGGGCTCACGTGGTCTCTCCCCTCCTTGCAGGAAGGTGTACGAGTTCCTCTCCACATTCATCATCTCGGGGATGCGCTTTCTCCTGAACCAGCAGGTACAGCAGTAGTGTGTGTGTGGGGTGCCCTCCCCTCTTTGGAAGGCCCTGACTCTAGACCCCACCTCGCAGATCTGCCCTGTGCTTTACCACGCAGGGACGGTGCTCCTCAATTCACTCCTGGACACTGTGCCTGGTGAGTTGGTGCTGGCCGGGAGGGAAGCTCCGGGCCATGCCTGGGACTGGACTGGGGGTGAGGAGGGGGCTAGGTGTGCAGCTGCCAGGCAGGGCCTCAGAGTAGCCCCCTGCCATGCCCTGGCCTCAAATAGGGCCTCTGCTGCTGACTGGCCACGTGGCCCTAGGTAAGTACTCACCTTTCTCTGGGCCCTGGTGTCTTCACTTGGCTGCCGATGCCTCCTTGTGGGGGTTGTTGGAACAAGTAATTGAGCGGTGATTGTCTATGTCCTCGATATGGACTTGCTGATCACTGGGAACTTGTCTGTATTCATCCCTTGCACTTAACAGGTGTTCAACTAACACGAATTCCCTTTTCCTGCTGTGACCTCTGCCTGCTGTGGGGTAGAGATCATCACGCCCCACACAGGGCATGGGGAACAATGAGGGAAGAGAATCCCTTGCCGTCTTGTTTAGTGATCTCATGGAGCCCTTGTCATAGGGGTGGCGATGTCAGGAGTGGTCATTAATATTGCTGAGCACTGAGTGCTTCCCGCGTAAAACCGATTTGATCCCCACAACAACCCTACGAGGGAGGATTTCTAATCACCGCATTGTGGATGAGAAACAGGCCCCGAAGGGTGAACGCAGCTTGAGTGACTGCACTCCTTCCCACAGTTCGCAGCTCTGTGGATGAGCTGGTTGGCATCGACTACTCCCTCCTGAAGGACCCGGTCGCTTCCGATAGCAACCTGGACATGGACTTCCGGGTGAGCTGCCTGGCTGCTCTGGCGTCTCTGGCCTAACCAGACCTCCTCCTTGTTCCTGGTGTTGCTCATTTTGTCCTCTGAAGGCACAGCTCTGGGCCACTGCACTGCTGAGTGGACCCCCATGGCCTGCAGAATTCGGTTCAACCCCTGGGTCTGGCCCCACCTTTCTGACTTCACCCTGTTTCTCTGCACTCATTCTTTCCCAAATATGCCCCTGGCTTCCTGCCTCAGGGCCTTTGCTCATGCGCTGCCCTTTCCCACCTCCCCTGAAGCAGTTGGACATAACAGCTCTATGCACATAATCTATGTAAATGTAAACAGCAGCTTTTCTCACTCCTGCTCTGTATCTTTCAAGACCCACTCACAAGCCACCTCCTCCCCAAGTCCCTTTCCTGGGTGTCCCTTCTCTGGCCTAATGGGAGTGCTCCCTTGCAGAACTCCAGCTGCCCTCCTTTGAATGACTTTTTAGGAGTTGTGCTAACGAGGGCACCTGGTGGGGTGTTGGTAGAGCATGCGACTCTGAATCTTGGGGTCGTGAGTTCAAGCCCCATGTTGGGAGGAGAGATTACTTAAATAAATACAACTTAAAAGAAAAAGTTGTGCTAATAAGACCCCTAAAGATAGCAACTGGGTCCAACCCTCACGGGGCCTGGCACCGGGCGTGGGAAGATCTGGGTGCTGGGCCAGGCTGACCCTGATCCCCCAACTGTAGGGGGCCTTCTTTCCTCTGGCTGAGGGGAACTGGAGCCTGCCCAACCGGGCGGTAGAGCCCCAGCTGCAGGAGGAGGAGCGGATGGTGTACGTGGCCTTCTCAGAGTTCTTCTTTGACTCTGCCATGGAGAGTTACTTCCGGGCAGAAGCCCTGAAGCTGTCCCTGGTGGGGGACAAGGTATGTCGGGGTCTGTCTGCTGGATGGCCAAGAGGGGACCTGTCCGAAACTCCCGATAACCCTGCCTCATCCTCTTCCCCTCTCTAGGTGCCCCACGATCTGGACATGCTGCTGAGAGCCACCTACTTTGGGAGCATTGTCCTACTGGTGAGTGTTGGCGGGAGGTAGGGACGTGGCCAGGGTGGGCGGCCATACCACCTGCACACCAGCGAGGGGACGCGTGAGCTGTACAAGCAGAGGCCCCTGCAGCCACTGTGCAGTAGACAGAAGGCCCGACCTCTCGCCTGTGGCTAAGTTCTCTTATTTGTCAAGGTCGATTCCAGGTCTGGGAAGGGCCCTTGCTACTTCTTCATGAAGCTAGGAGGAGCACAGGCTGAGAACCCAAGCTCTCTACGTGTAGGGACTCTAACAATGACCGATGTATTCTTTTTTTAAGTTAATTTTTTTAATAATCTCTATGCCCATCGTGGGGCTCGAGCTCATTACCCTCACGATTAAGCGTCCCATGCTCTACTGACTGGGCCAGCCAGATGCCCTGATGTATTCTTCTTTTGCCTTATGATTTCCCCTTGTTTCATGGGAAGAGGGTTGGGAGGTCAAAATCTAAAAAGCATCTCAGTGATCGTTAGAGGGCTTGCCCTTAATCTCTTCTACACTATAGCCTCCCAGGGCTGTCGCTGAGGATTAACTGAATTAATTCACGTAAAGAAATTAGAGCAGCCCCTGGCGCAGGTTAACTGCTCAGGAAACACGAGTTGCTGTTCCTGCTGCTGTCATCCCCATCGTCACCATCTACCTGATGGCCAAGTGGTGGGGGAGGGTCATGGACTCTCTGGCCAGACTGCCCAGATCTGCATCCCAGGGTCTGCAACTGGATGACTCCAGAACCTTGGACAAGTTACTTAACTTCTCTGTGCCCTGGTTTCCCCATCTCCAAGATAAGCATGATAGCACCTGCCTCACATGGTTATGATGAGCTCTGAATGAGCTCACACAGGCAAAATATTGGTCAGTGCCTACACGGGAAAGAGCACAGCAGTGCAGAGAAAAGGACGATACGGCAGAGAGTGGGCATATCTGATGCAAACACTGTCCCAGAGGGGTCTGGCTGGAGATAGATCCCCACTAGCAAGAACTCAGGAAAGCAGTAGGAGACATTCCATCCCTCACGTGAGCAAAGGCACAGAGGCTGGGCACAGTTCTGAAGGGTCTGGGAAGCCACACCAGTCCTTGTTATTTGCGGGTCTGGGCTCCCAGCAGGCAGAGCCTGAGCCACCCCATGTTCCCTCCTGGGGCTCATCAGGGAGCAGACGTGGGACTACCCCTGCCCTCCCCCACTCTGTCCCCAGAGCCCAGCGGTGATCGACTCCCCGCTGAAGCTGGAGCTGCGCGTCCTGGCCCCACCTCGCTGCACCATCAAGCCCTCGGGTAGCACGGTCTCCGTCACTGCCAGTGTCACCATAGCCCTGGTCCCACCTGACCAGCCCGAGGTCCAGCTGTCCAGCATGACCATGGTGCGGACACTAGAGCGGGGGTACTGAGGGTCAGGATGAGCATGCTGCGGACCCCGTGGGTCAGTAACCCTGCCCCAACCCCCTTGCCTGTAGGACGCCCGTCTCAGCGCCAAGATGGCACTCCGGGGGAAGGCGCTGCGCACCCAGCTGGACCTGCGCCGGTAAGCAGCCAGTCAAGGTCTCGGGCAAGCGCTTCACCTTGCTGAGCCTGAGTGCCTTCAGGATAGTTGCACCTGTTCGACAACAGATCTATAGCTGCTGGGAAGCTAGGGTCTTTGTTCATGTGGAACAAATGCATTTTAATCAGGTGGAATTTCTCTAGATTATCTTATGACCCAGAGGCAGGCAGAGCAGGTCTTCTGAGAGGCATGAACCAGCCCAGCAAGGTTAAGTGACGTGCCCACGGTCCCACAGTCGCACAGCAAAGAGCCTAACCGCAGGGGTTCAGGCAGAAACAGCCCAGCTTTTCCAATCTTAAGAGTCACTTCACTTCATTTTCTTCATGGACTAAATGGAGGGAAAAATAGCACCTACTGTGTGAGCCACAGGCAGCCAGGGGCTACTACACAGCGGGGGCAAATGTGCCACAGTCTGCGGAAAGTTCTACTGGACAGCACTGTCCCAGAGGTTAAATGAGATATTGCAGGGTCGTGGTTAAGAGTTTAGATTCTAGGGGCACCTGGGTGGCTCAGTGGGTTAAAGCCTCTGCCTTCGGCTCAGGTCATAATACCCAGGGTACTGGGATCGAGCCCCGCATCGGGCTCTCTGCTCAGCGGGGAGCCTGCTTCCCCCTCTATCTCTGCCTGCCTCTCTGCCTGTGATCTGTCTGTCAAATGAATAAATAAAATCTTAAAAAAAAAAAAAAAAGAGTTTAGATCCTAGAGGCAGCTTCTGCCCTCTACCAGCTGTGAGACCGCAGGCGAATGCCTTCGGCTCTCTAGGCTTGATCTGCCTCATCTAAAAAGTACAGATCATTTCATAGCACCTACTTCTTAGAGCTGTCGGGAGGATGAAGTCACGTTGGCATTTTAAAATATCTTACTATTTAACTTCTGTAACATGCTTAGTACCTAGGAGGAAGTAAGCTCTGTAAGTTTCACTAAACAAACACAAACTACACACGCCAGGCGGTCAGGCCAAGTCTGGTATACAGGAAGTGGTCAATGAATTACAAGTAGCAAACTTGAAGAAAAGGAACCGAAAGCGGGAGAAAGGACTCCCCCACCCAGGGATGCACATCTGGCGAGTGGCAGAAGCCCTAGACAGGTGTGAAGATGGGAACATCTGAGGCTGAGACTGAGGGGCATCTGGTGGCCTGAGGAAGGGGAACTTCTGGGCCTTGTGCTTACTGGACACTTCTTTCTCTCCCGTAGGTTCCGAATCTATTCAAACCAGTCCGCTTTGGAGTCACTGGCAGTGAGTTGGGGGTGGTGGGCGTGCCGAGGCCGGGTCAGGGCTGGGCAACGGAGGCCTGTCGGCTTCCTACTGCTTGCCCTGACATCCTGCCCTCTCCTTCCCAGCTGATCCCACTGCAAGCCCCTTTGAAGACCATGCTGCAGATTGGGGTGATGCCCATGCTCAATGGTAGGGCTGGGGGTCGGAGGGCAGGAGAGGGAAGAGAGGGGAGCTGGGTGGATCCCTGCTGAGCCAACTGCTCCCACCCACAGAGCGGATGTGGCGGGGGGTGCAGATCCCACTACCCGAGGGCATCAACTTCGTGCGTGAGGTGGTGACGAACCATGCGGTGAGTTGAGGGGGTTGATGGAGGAGGGCAGAGCCTCCCCGCCCCTGATTCACCACCAACCTAACTGGGCTACCTGACCCCAGCTCCTCCCTCATTGACGGCCCCTCCCATTTTAATCTTCCATCATCAGACTTCTCCAGCCCTCTGCACAGCTGTACCCTCACCTTCTAAACCTCTTCCCGGATTCCACCCCTAATATCTACTTATCTTGACCGTCTGAGCTAAGAGGTCACCTCCTCCAGGAAGCCCTCCTTGACCTCCACAGACTGTGTTCCTGCAGCCTCTCTTTTACACCCTTCACAGGGAGCTAGAAGACCTTCTTTGCTGCTCCTCCTGTCCCACTAAACAGAACCCCTCAAGGCTAAGAACTCTGTCTCTATCTTGAAATTTTGGCCTCTGTGATGGAATGAACAGACTCCCCTCTCTGCCCCACTGCACAGGGCTTCCTCACCATTGGGGCCGACCTCCACTTTGCCAAAGGGCTGCGAGAGGTGATTGAGAAGAACCGGCCTGCCGACACCCGGGACCCCTGGACATCCAGTGCCTCTCCGCCCTCCACAGCGGCTGCCTGAGTCCTCAAGCCCACCCTGGGAGGGGCTTTTGGGACTCCAGACGCCTGTCATCCCCTCCCCCAGGACCTTCCACCCCCAGCCTATAGTGTCCTAACCCCCAGTGCCACAGAGAAGACAGGGCTTTAAGCTGTACCCAATTTAATTCCATAATCAGTCAATCCATTGATTACAGTCCGTCCACCCTCCCCATGGGCTGGGCTGAGCTCTGCTGTGTTCCAGTGCATGAAGGGAGGGGCCAGGCCCCACCCCAGTCAGGAATAAAGTGCTAACTCCCCCAGGCTGTCTACTGAGGCACTGGGGCCTGGTCTGGGAGGCAGAGGGCTGTGGAGGGGTCAGTGGTGGGGAGGTAGGTTGGTTCTGGAGGCCGGGATCTGCCCCACAGGGGCATTTTGCATAAAAGAGGGCCTCCCTCCATCAGGAGAGGCAGGAAAGGGGCTGGATCAGAAGGGGGACTTGTCTCTGTCAGTATGGCTGCATCGGGCAGAAGGGGGACTGATCTCCATCAGTACGGCTGCTTATTCAGGAAGCGGGAGAACATGGTGAGGGCAGCCTGGGGCTTGTCGGTGGGGACCATGTGCCCAGCTCCCTAGAAGCAAAGCTCTGTGAGATCACCTTCCTGTGTCACCCCTGCCCCTGGGTGCCCCCTCCATCCTACTGGATCCCTTCAGCCAGTGACCCTCCTCTTCTCCCACTCCCTCCAGAAAACTTGCTCTTATGGGCCCAGACGGTAACCCAGTGTAACAGGGAGCTGGGAGGAGAGGATGGGTGGGTCCTGCCCCATCTCCTCCAGCCAAGCCAACCCTCTTCAGGCCCAGGCTCTACCTTGATGGTGAGAAAGGCGATGTGGGAGAACTCCTTCACGAAGCCAGCAATCTGCTCTCCACTGTCCCCATAGTCCACTAACCAGGGCCGGCGCTGGACCTCCATCTGTCCCACGAGGAAAGACTTAGCAGCCTGCTGCTGCCCACAGCTGCCAGCAAGACCTCAGGGGCCTGGAACTCCCCCAGGTTTGCCCTGTCTGTCTGCCCAGAGCCCAGTTGCCAGGCACAGCTGCCCCATCCCTCCCCAGAGCTGGGATCCTTGCGCCTTACCTTCTGGTTGAGGGAATCCACGAACCACTCATCCCCCATGAAATTGCAAGCCATGTCCACATCTCCGTTGTACAGCAGGATCCGGTATTTCTGAAGCCGGGCAAGAGAAGGAATGGGGGCTCTGGCGTGAGCGCAGGACCCAGCCCTTCCCTAGTTCAAGCCCTACCCCTTCAGGGAATTCAGGGGACCCAGCTAAATAGCATGAAGCAGGAAACACGCAGGTTTTCTGTTTTCTACATATCCAGTGCTCTACTAAATGTTTCACCTATGAAGGTGGATACTGTTATTAACCCCATTTTACAGGTGGGGAAACCAAATCTCAAGATATGAGAAATGTGCCCAGGATCATACAGCTAGTAAAGGAACCTGCACACAGTCCATTTGACACTAGAGCTCCTGCTCTAACCACTGTGGATAGAGAATCTGGTCCTGACTGGCTGTCAGGGTCTCCTAGATGACCTTGGACAAGGCTCTTTCCCACCCTGGACCTCCATTTGCCTGTCTGTAACACGTTCTCCCAGCTCTTCTCCACCTAAAGTCTCCTTGGCCGATGCAGAACCCCCAGCCTCCTACCACAAAGCAGCATGGGGTGGGGGACAAAGCCATGTTCAAATCGTGACCCTGTATCACTGGGCTTCGTTTCTTAGAGTTTCAGCTTCTGGTGTCCAGAGTGGCACTCTCAAGGGGGCCCTGAGGTTGCTGGTGGCCCCTACCGCGCAGCACCCACTCACCTGCGTGGTGAGTAGCTTCAAGTACTGGTCCTGCACACTTTGGTAGAGACGGCGGTACTGTATATTCACCAGGAAGCTGCGGGAGCACGTGGGCAGGCCCCATGAAGACCAGGTAAAGGGGAACAGAGTCACATGGCAGACCTCCCCTTCCTGTCCCCTCCCAGCTTGAAGCTCCAGCCCAGGGGGCAGAGCTGGGATTCAGTCCCCTCCTTGTGTACGTCTCTAGGACTTAGTTGGAGAGGCTGGAACGCCGAGGTCCTCCACTCACCCCCGTTGGGAAGCGTAGATGGAAACATTTAGTGACGGGCCCACGATTGGGATTTAGCACCAAGGGGCCTACGGGTGTGAGAACCACAGAGCGCTAACGGCAGGAGGGCAGGGGTACTGGCCAATCAGAATGGACGTGAGTGGCCCCTGCCATGCTGGGCGTCACCATGTTACTCAACACAGGTCACAGGAGATCTGTGCAACTGAGGACTGTAGCGGAGCGGGGGTGGGGGATAGGGTCTGTTGACTCACTACTGGGGAAGCAAACTAACATTTTACCAATGAATTGGTGAAACATCCATCAGCTGAAAGGTTAGACTTTCAGTACAACTAACTCACCGCCACACCCTGAAGGCCACCCCTGAGAGACCCTGGCCAAGGGGTTCCTGGGAACCTGTCTGATACCCACAGGCCCCGAGAGCCTGCCACCCCCAGACCACGGCTGGCCGCAGCGCCTCACTTGCACATGTCCCAGCGGGGCAGCTGCTCAGGGACGTGGAGGGCCTTGCGCACATAAGGGTTGTTGAGGTAGGTGGAGGCAGCCGTGGTGTTGGTGCAGGGCGGGTCCATGCGCACCCTGTCCCCAGAGCGCAGCAGCAGCGCCTGGGAGAGCAGACCAAAGGTCAGGGTCTTTGCCGCCCTGGCCCACCCCCACCAGAAGCAGCTCAGATATTTGCACACCTGATGCCGTGTCTGCTTGAGCGGCAGACGAGTGAAGATGTTGCCAAAGTCGTGGAGCATGACAGTGTCCTCCTTGAACCTGCAAGTGAAGTAGGGGATGGGTGCCTCCGTCTCCAGGCGGGGCTAGGGCCCCCAGGGCACACCGCAGGGCCTACCTTAAATGGCCAGGCACACCCCCAGCACAGGGGGCGTAGAGGTTGTAAATGTTGAGGCCCGAGTTGCCCACGATGCGGGACACTTCCTGTAGCTGCAATGACACGCCGAGCCACCCCCGTGTCACAAAGCCCTGGTCTCCCCAGGATCTCACCAACATGTCCCAAGATTCATCACTCTCCTGCTTCGCCTCTTGTTACCCTTCCCCCACCTTTTTTTTACAGGTAGGGGAACTGAGGCTCAGTGGAAGGCATCTGCCAGCCCGGGGTCTAAACCCTGGTGGCACTACTTCCTAGCACTGTGACTTCAGGCGAGTAACTTTAACATTCTTGACATCACTTTCCTCTTCTGGAAAATGTGGACAATACAATGTCCCTTAAAGGGAAAACTTAAATAATCCGTGTGGACCTATGTCAGCCCAGTGCCTGGAACACTGTAGATGTGAGAGATCCTTTCCCTCCTAGGGATTCTAGGATTTGCCCAGAAAGTCACAGGAAGTAGTGACAGGAACACATCCCTAGATGTGTCCCAGAAAACACCAAATTGCTGTAGGAGGCAGGACAGGAAAGCCAAAGGGGACAGGGTCAGGGAGTCCCCAAGGAAGGGATGTGGTCCTCTTCTCTGGGCTGGGGGTGTCAGGGGTGACAGAGGTTGGGGGAAGAACCTCACATTAGTCACGCATTCTGGGTCGGTGTTGTCGTAGAAATTACACTTGTTCTGAGAGCAGCAGTGGGTCTGGAGGGAAGACCAGAGCCTGCAGGAGAGGCACAAAAGCATTCAGGCCCAAGGGGGGCCTCCCACTTTCTCCCTCCAACCTCCCACCACCACCTGCCTCCCAGGGGACAAGGAAACGGGTCACAGGGGATGGTATGGAGGTTCTCCATCTAGCTGCTCTGGGGCCATCCTACCAGCCCTCCTGAGTCCCTTACTGCACCGAACACTTCTAGCAACCCCAGCCCCCGCCTCCTGGTCATAAACTGGGGTAGGGCCCAGGGGTATCATGTGCCTGGAGAGCAGACCTGAGATCTCATGACCTGCCCCACCCCGGAGATTGCCCAACCACCCCCTCCCATACCTGTTCCCCAGAAGGCCATGGTAGTAGGCGAAATAGACCAGGGAGTTGTCATTCTGTTCATAGGAGGAGAGTCCATTGCCCACAGCCAACCCCTGTGAAACAGCCAGGGCATCCAGGTCATCTGGAGGGAGAGGAGGAGCCTCCCTGGGCTACACCCAGACCTCCAGCAATGTGGACACTGAAACCCAAGCTGGTTTGTGGGGAGGCCACTCAAAGTAAAGAACAGATCTGGCTGGCTGACAGGTGAGCTTCCGTCCTGGGAGGCCCGTGAGCAGGAGTAGGCCAGCCAGTGGCAAGTGCATTACAAAGGAGACCAAGTTGGACAGGGAAGATGGCCTGCCTGACCTCGCTCACCGAAAGGCCATGACCATAAGCTGCCTCACTCCCCTCCCGCAGCGGCCCTACCTGCAGGTTCATGCTGGGATCCTGCATGACCAACACGGCCAGGGTGGGGATGTAAATGCCGGCATAGCTCTCTCCTGTCAGGAAAAGCTCATTGTCCTTGTACTCCGGGAAGAGGCGGAAGAAATCCTTCAGGGCCTCAAAATTGCTCTGGGCGACCTAGGGAAAGCAGAATGGAGGGAACCAAAAGCTGCTGGTATTGGAGCTAGAAAGAACTTCAGAGATCATGACACCCACCACCCACTCTGAGCAAGAGGAATTGGCTTCGCCAAGACCACACACAGCCTGCGCAAGAGCCAAAAACAGACTCCAGTGCCATGTTCTTCTCTTCCAGTTCATGCTACCCTTAGAGAACTGGGGAGGCTGGGGCACAGGGCAGGCACTGGACTCACCTCGGTGTCGTTGGTGGCATAAGTCTTGTCATCAGAGTAGGAGAAGCCCACCCCAGCTGGGGACTCAAGGTACAACACATTGGCAATCTACATGGCAGGAGGAAACCAACTGAAGAAGGCTCCCCAACCCATCCGAGTGCCCGGACACCCCCACGGGACCCCCGGCTCCAGCTATACCAGGTTCCAAGAATAGGGGTTGTACTCCAGCGTGGCACCATCTGGCTGCACCTGAAGAGGAGAGAGAGGGCTGAGTGCCAAGGGCCACTGTGCTGGGCACTCCACACTCCGGCAAAACCCCTGCGAGGTATAGAAAGTCAATGGTACAGACGAGGGAACCCAGGCTCAGGAGAACTGCACACTGGCAACACCTCCAAGTCCTGCTCTCCCTCCTCCCCAGCCCCCCCATTAGGGACCGTCCCCTTCCTGGTTGTAGTGGGGAGACTGTGGCTTTCCACTCACCAGGAAGGGGCCGTGCTCTGTGAGGAAGCCATCTAGGGAGCTGCAGCCGGGCCCTCCGTTGAGCCAGAGCACCAGAGGGCTGCTCTTGGGATCCTTCTGCGATTCCACAAACCTGGGAGGGGAGGCAGAGCAGGGTGAGTGCCCGCGGAGGGACCCCTCCCAGCGCGCCCCGCTCCCAGGCTCCCCAGGAGGTCTTCAGACCCTCCTCCAGCTCGCGCCCCGTCCCCTCCCCGCCCCGGAGGGAGGGCCGCAGACCAGTAGTGGAGGTGCTTGGAGCCGGAGCCACGGAGGTAGCCGGAGTACTGGCGGAAAGCCGGCTGCTTGGCCAACCCAGGCAGGCACTGGATCTCATCCACGTCCGGTGCTGCCTGGCCTGGGGGCGCCCAGGGCAGGAGTAGCAACAGCAGCCAAGGAGGCGACAGCGCGGCTCCGATCATCTGCAGCAGGAAGCGGGGCCGCCTTTTTCCGCGCTCCCTCGCTCCTCGGCGCTTCCGCGGGGCGGCCCCGCGGAGGAGCTGGCGGCGCGCGGCCAGAGAAGTCCCCGGCCAGGCTCCAGCGCCCACCCACCGCACCGCCCCGGGCCGTGGGTCCCCTCCGGCCTCCCGGGACGCCCTCACCTCTGCTCCCCCGCGTCCTCGCTCTCCAGGAGGGGCCCGGTCGCGGGAGGTCATGTGGAGTCGGAATCACGTGGGTGCCGGCGTCACGTGACAGTCATCCTGCCGTGGCCTCGCTGGTCCCCCGGGACCGGCGGCTCGCAAGCGGGGGCCTGCTTGCGGTCAGAGTCCGTGGTCCTCCCAGGTCGTGTCGCGCGCGCCAGCCATCAAATGATCCAGATGTGGGCGGCCAGGATCCCTCGGCTTCCCGGTGGGCCCTGTCCAAGCGGGATGGCTGAGCAAGCGGCGCTAGGACCCCAGGGCAGAGCCTCGGGAAGGGCAGTCGGGGGGATGGGAGGGTTACCTTACTTGGTGCCCCGCGGTCACCCTCTGAGCACGCCTCCCAAAATAGCCCCCGGCGCCCGCTGGCCTGTCTCGTGGCCGGGAGATGGCTGCTGTCTCCGACCCCGTGGCCTGGAGGTCCGCGCGTCCCGAGTCCCGTCCCACCCGCTTCCACCAGGTGCACGGTGCCAACATCCGCGTGGACCTCTCCGGGACGCGGGCCACACGCGTGGAGAGTTTCGCTCACGGCGTATGCTTCAGTCGCGAGCCGCTGGCCCCGGGCCAGGTATTCCTGGTCGAGATCGAGGAGAAAGAGCTGGGCTGGTGCGGGCACCTGCGCCTCGGCCTGACCGCGCTAGACCCAGCCACTCTGGCCTCCGTGCCCGAGTTTTCGCTGCCCGACCTAGTCAGCCTCGGCCACACCTGGGTCTTCGCCATTACGCGCCATCACAACCGCGTGCCCCGGGAGGACCGCCCGGAGGCAGAGGCATTGGCCCCCAGCCGCCCGCCAGCCCTCCTGGTGGAACCGTATCTGTGCATCGAGCAGTTTCGCATTCCCCGCGACCGCCTGGTGGGTCGCAGCCGGCCCGGGCTCTACAGCCACCTCTTGGATCAGCTGTATGAGCTGAACGTGCTGCCACCGACCGCGCGCCGCAGCCGGCTGGGCGTTCTTTTCTGCCCACGCCCGGACGGCACTGCCGACATGCACATCATCATCAACGGCGAGGACATGGGCCCTAGCGCCCGGGGGCTGCCAGCCGCCCAGCCCCTCTACGCAGTGGTGGACGTGTTTGCCTCCACCAAGAGCGTGCGCCTGGTCCAGCTCGAGTATGGCTGTAGGTATCCCACCCCCCTGAGCAGCGACCCCTCCTGGCCCAGTGTGGGAACAGGAACTTGCTAGGATTCTCAAACCAGCTAGCAAGACTTCCGTTTGTCCAGCCTTAGTTTAGAAGTTAGGGAATCAGACTTGAAATTCTGCCTTTGCTTGGGATCCTGAACAAGTCACTGCCTGGCTCTGGGCTGCCGTTTCGCCATCTCGGTTGTGATCTATTAGGTTGCTTGCTTTGCCAGTGTTTTCTGTATTAACCTAGGGCAGGGATTCTAAACTGTCACACCTGGGCTGCCTTGGAAGCTGTGTGCTTATTAGACAAATGCTCCTGGATTTGGGCATACCAGTTGAAAGGCATCATAGGCTCCAGATTGTTCGTGCGATCTGGTCCTTTATAGCCTTCTTAAGCCCTCGCCCCCCCTTTTTTAAAAGATTTATTTATTTATTTATTTGACAGAGATCACAAGTAGGCGGCAGGGAGTGGGGGCAGGTTTCCTGCTGAGCAGGGAGCCCGATGCAGGGCTTGATCCCAAGACCCTGGGATCATGACCTGAGCTGAAGGCAGAGGCTTTAACCCACTGAGCCACCCAGGCACCCCTAGCCTTCTTAAGCCCTTTATTATACCTCTGATCATTTTATGAATTCAGTGAACTAGAACCCACTCCTATGTCAGACCTGTGCTGGAGGCCGGGTGTGCACAGGTGAGTCAGGCACACTGCCTGTGCCCCCAGCAACTGCTAAGAGGGGGGTTCCAATAGAAACAGGGCTGCAGCATTGTGGAGGTTTTGAAAGAGGTGCTATGTCAACCACATGAACAGCCTGTGATGCAGGCTGGACCTAGAAAGCAGAAGGGACTTGCCCAAGTTAATGACAAGAGGAGAACCAGGACCTAGGTCTTCAGGGTCTCAGCCTCAGATGCCCCTCCAGTTAAGTTTGCCTCTGACAGCCTTCTTTCCACAGTGCCGTCCCTGCAGACTCTCTGCCGCCTAGTCATCCAAAGGAGCGTGGTGCACCGGTTGGCCATTGATGGGCTCCACCTGCCGAAAGGACTTAAGGATTTCTGCAAGTACGAGTAAAGGCCTGCAGCGGCCCTAGAACCGGGCCACGAGCATGTCCTGGCCCTGGAGCCGGCCAGGCCTGGAAATAAACACAGCTGATGCTGACACGGATCAGCTGTCTGGACGGTCTCCTTGCCCTGGAAGCCCATTAGCAGCACTTGTAGAAACATTGGGAGTCAGCAGGTCAGAGCAAGACAGGGCATTTTATTTAGTTATTTTTAAGATTTTATTTGAGAGAGAGCACATGATCAGGGGCAGAAAGAGAGGGAGAAGCAGCCTCCCCTGCCGAGCAGGGAGCCAACGTGGGGCTCCAATCCCAGGACCCTGGGATGATGACCTGAGCCGAAGGCAGACGTTTCACTGACTGAGCCACCCGGGCGCCCCTAGACAGCATTATAGACATCACCTAGACCAGCGTTCCTAGTCGGGCTGCTCATTAGGGTTATCTGGGATACACTGAAGAGCTGATGCCGGAAACCCCATCTCCAGAGATTCCCATTCTGATTGTTGGAGGATTAGGCCTAGACATTGTTCTTTTGTAAAAGCTCCCCAGAGATTCTAATGTAGCCAGGATTGAGGAGCATTCCCCGAGGATAGAGGTCTTGACTTTGGCATATAGTATAACCACTTGAGGGACTAATACTAACTGGGTCTGACCCAGGGGTTCGGATTTAATTGGTCTGGGAGGAGGCTGGGCATCAGGATTTCTGAGCGCTCCCCAAAGGATTTAATGTCCATCCCAGTTTGACACCCTGGACCAATGATTTCATTCTGCAGATGGGAAACCGAAGCCTAAAGACGGGAATGTATTCTGAAGTCACACAGCAAATGAACGAGGGCAGAGCACTCCTTCTCATACTGCAGAGCACAAAGCACTCACTTCTTTATTGGTATCTCTGATCATTTGCTTCCATGACAGATAATCTCATTTAATGCTCACGACTTCTGGTTAGGAAGTGAGCATCATTACTTCCATTTTACAGAGGAGAATATCAAGGAACAAAATTATCCAAGTGACTTGCCCAAGATAGAGGTAAGAACCTAGAATGTCCAGTTCCTGGTCCAGCACTCTTTTAACCCCATGCTATTGTCATATACAGGTTCTAGAATGAACAGGTCAGTGCTGTGAGGTGGGTTCCAGGTGTAAAGGGGAGGGACTATGAGGTGACATTCTAGAATGGTGGAAGGGGTAGGACAGGAGGCAGAGGACTGTTCCCTCACAAACGGGGGCTTTGGGGCCGCCATGTCCTATTTCATATCTCCACAAACTCATCAAGGTCTTCCGTCTTCCAGCCAAGGTGAGAGAGGGGCTCCTGGAACTGGAGGGGGCACCACAACTTTCCCTGAGAACTTGTTTTCCTGGCTCTGGGGAGGTGGAGGTTCTGCTGGACATTTCTGGGCTGGCCCTGGAATCAGTTCTCTGAAGAAAGCCATTCCAAAAGGTCTTGCCAGTAGCTACCTGCTCACTCATTCATTCAACAAACACTTCTCCATTACCTACTCGGTGTTGGGGGCTGGGGGTGCGGAAATGAGTAAAACACCCAGTTCCCAATCACTAGACAGCCCTGTTGGGCTGGTCTTAATCACTCCTGTTTCCAGTACTCTGCTTCTATGCCCTGCCCCTCAGGGCCTCCTGAAAGACACCGAGAGTAACATTCCATCTCGTTCCTGTCTCTACAGGTGGGGCTGCTTCTCCAGGCTCATCCCTTGGCCTCTATAGTCCTATAGAGCCAGTGGTGGTGGCCTCTGGTGGACTAGGCCCAGTGAGCCAGAAAGCTGAGCAGGTGGCTCCTGTTGCCCAGGCCTGGGGCCCGGCCCTGGCAGTGCCGGAAGCCAGGGGCTGCCCTGGGGGGGCTGGCTGGGAGACACTGCAGCGGAAGGATTATGGCCGATACAACCACAGATTCCCCCTCACAAAGCAGCCGGAGAGCTTGGGCTGGGAGGATGGCTGCTCCAGAAGCAGAGCTCCCCGCCTGGGTGGCCCCAGCAGGCCTGGGCCCCTGCTGCTGTGTGGGCTGTCACCAGGGGTTCTACCGATGCCCTCTGAGGCAGGGGGGAAGGAGGCCGGCTCCCAGCCTGACATCTGCATCCTTACCCTGGCCATGATGATCGCAGGCATCCCCACTGTGCCTGTCCCAGGGCTTCGGGAAGAGGACCTGATCCGGGCGGCTCAAGCTTTCATGATGGCCCATCCGGAGCCAGAGGAGGCCGTGGAGGGGGCGCGGTGGGAGCAGGCCCGTGCCCACACAGCCTCTGGGCAAATGCCCCTCATGAGATCCAGGAGAGGCCAGCCTCCTGGCTCCTGCTTGTAGCTGGATGAAATAGCACCAGACACACAGGGCAGCTTCTCTGTATGGTTTTTGGGCAGACAGAATTGGGAGTGCCTGTGACACGGATGGGGACAGGGTGGTGGTATGAACCACTCTTGTCAATACAAGTCTTTCATCAGGGCCCAGACCCAGGAACTTTCTCCAGATGCCACTAAGTCAGGAGACAGGACTTCTCAGAGTAGTTACAATGAAAATCACCTGAGGTAGGGGGCCCGGCTTGGAGTGGAGGCCTCTTGTGTCTTGTTTGAGGATTCGATCAAGATTGTGGTACAAAGTCCTAGGCGACGTGAATTTTCCTCTTGCCTGACATTTCCCAGCCAGCTGAGGGCAAGTGATGGGACCAGTGTCAAGGAAGGAAGATGAACACTTGAGCGCCCAGGTCATGGGCCCATTACAGGCAGGCTCTCCTTTAATCTCATCAGTGCTGGGAGGATATCCATTTTTACAGATGAACAGATCGAGCCTTTTGAGGGGTGACTTGCCTGATGTCCCAGAGCTAGTAAAAGGTACAACCAGGCCTCAAAAATCAGGCATTGAAAGACCTGGGATTTGCACGTAGTGGCAGACTCCAAAGTCTATTCTTTCCATGATATTTGCTCTGCTGTCTTCTAGAAGATACAAAATGAGACGAGGGCTGGAATAGGCAAATGTGACTTTAATGACCTCCCTGTGGGGGCCAGGGAACAAAGGCTGGGATCCACCTCCTCTCCTCTGTGGGTCCGGTGAGTCATCTAATGACTGGGGAAGCTGTTACCAAGCCCCTGCCCTTGATCTCCACCCAGTACCTTATCCTAGAGCAGGGCCACCTGTTTCTAAGGCCCTTGAGCTAAGAATGGTTTTTAATCATCTGAAAAGGCTGCCAAACCAAACCAAGAATATACAACAGAGACCGTGGCCAGCAAAGTCTAAAATATTTACTGCCAGGCCCTTTACAGAAAAGGTTTGCTGACTCCTGTCTTAGGAACTAGACACATTTTAGGTAACAGGCCGCGGTAGAATAGAAGACCCTTGTCCTTTCCTGGAAGGAAGGCCCACGGAAGTCTAATAGTGTGAGTGTGTGTTGTGCATGTAGGGGTGGATGTGAGTGGGTATGTGTCATTGAGCATCTCTGGCATGGAAGGTAATCAGAGTTGGACCTGCTCATAAGGGCCGATCCAGCTGTCGGCCAGCTCCCGCAGGGTGCTGTACCTCCGTTCAAACTCCTCCTGGCTGCAGTGCTGCAAGAGCTGACCCACCTCCTCGGTGAGGAGAGCCACGGCCAAGTGCTTATCCAGCGTCTCACTCCACTTGCTGCCCAGAATGTTGTCTAGACTGGCAGCACAGCCTGCTGTCCACTGGGTGGGCAGCATTTCGGGCTGAAGCACCTGGTGGCGAGCACTGAGCATGGCCAGGATGTGGCGGCAGGGCAGGTGGAAGGCCTGGTGAAAGTAGCAGCTGCAGCTGGCAGGGGGCTGGGGCTGCACCCGATGGGTGTCCTCCAGGATCTGAATGTTCACCTTCTCCGAGCCGGAGCCGACGAGGTGCACAGATTTCTGGACCACAGCAAGCTCCCCCAGACAGAGCTGGGCGGCTGGCCCCGTGCAGATGGCATTGAGGGAGTGCTGGATGCGGGCTTCTACCAGCCGCTCCACTTGGGGGCTTTCTGGGCTGACGTCTAAGGGGGCGTGACTGTTCTGGGGACTCAGGCCCAGGCTGAAGCTCGCCTCGTCTCCCGCATTCTGCTGCATGTACCGGAGCAGAGAGGTCATGCCTTGCTCCACACAGGGGGTGGTGCCGAAGAGCTGGCTGAGGACGCGGGTGGTGACCTCCAGGCCCTGGAAGTAGCGGCTGCTCTCAGCTCGGCTTCGCCAGCGGTGCGCCAGCCAGATCCGGTCATTGAGCAGCCAGTGGGAGTGGAGCTCGGGCAGCCGGGCCGGAGGAATGCAGCTGCTCAGGAGTGTATACAGCTTCCTCAGGTTGCCAGCGGTGGCCGAGCACATTGTGCTCTGCAGGGCACTGAGGAGCACCCTCTCCACAGGCTGTTCGAGGGACAGCTGATAGAACTTGCCCTGGAGGAACTTACAGATGTGAAAGGCTGAGAGCAGGACCTCAGCTGCGGGGAACTCCATAGCCAGGGTGGGCAGCGGGAGGAAGTGGGGATCCACCAGGATGGTACAGACTCTCTCCCATGCTGGGTTAAACTTCTTGAACACCTGGAACATCTGGGCCAGGCCTTCAGCATCCTCCTTGGCTGGAATGGCGAAGTAGACTGCCCGGGCCAGATGACCCTCCAGCTGCACCCGAGGTCCATCTACCAGGAAGGTATATAGCACCTTGCCCGTTGGGTTATAGGTCCGGTGGATAAATAAGATCTCAGGGAAATGGGCAAAGACCCCTTGCATTAAGTGGCTCTGGTAGTTGAGGGTATCTAACTGAGCAGTCTTGCTAACCTGATACAGCAGCATAGGTGGGTTTGGGTCCTCAATCAGGAACTCATTCAGCATTGTCAGGGCCATGGGGGAGATGGGAGACGTCTAGATGCCAAGGTCAAAATACTTTCTCCGCAAGACTGCCGTCCAGGAGACTCTCAAGGTCTCAAGCTCCAAGCAAGCTGAAGCGTGAGGCTGGGATGTAGTTCCCCGATCTTGTTCCAAAGATGCGCCTATGGAGAGGAACAGAATCTTAAGGAGACAGTAGGGGCTTGGCTCCTCAACTATTCATCCAGATAATATTGCTTACTGTGGATCAGCACTGTTCTGGGGGAGATGCATGATAAACATGTAAACAGATAAAGATTTAACAGGCAATGAAGGTTGCAGAGAGCACAAAACTGGGTAACAGGTAGACAGTAAGATGGGAGAGGGAGAGAAATTTAGCTAAGGCGGGAAGGGAAGGTGTCTCTTGGTGGGGAGAGAGGATGACATTGGAGCTGAAACCTAACTGATAAGCTGGCCATGGAAAGATTCAGTTCTGAGATGTAAGTGGGTGTGAGGGGTGGAGGTGCATATGGCCTCCCCACCCCCCTAGATAGCTTTTTAAATATTTGTTTAGCTCTTTATATTTACAGATTACCGCTTGGCATCCATTCTTCCGTTTGGTCCTAGTATATATAAGAGAACCTAATTGCGCCCCAAATTGTATGATTCCAGGCAAGTCAGTGACTCTTTCTGAGCCTCAAGCCCTTGAACCACGAACAGGGACTATCACATGTGCTTGGCTTCTCCTGCCTCTCCATAAATCCCTCTATTAACTGCAGTACTGTGTTTAAAAGCTTCGTCTATTTGGCCCCAAACCGGGTTACTATCCCCATTTTACAGATGAGAAACTGAGGTTCAAAGAGGTTAAGTGACTTTCCCACCATTACTCCATAAGTAGCTAGAAGCTGAGTCTTTGGCTCGGGATCCTGACTGCTTTCCGGAGTACCTGAGGTCCAAACACCAGAGTGGGGACGCGGCCTCTGACCTCTCACCTCTAACCCGGGTGGGAGGATGTAGATATCAGACGTTCCCATTCGGAGTCCGGCCGGAGCCAGAAAAGAAGTCAACCTCCCACCCCTTTGGGAGCTGTGTCACGGCTGACCGCGATCATCAATCGCCTCACACCTCCACCCTTCAGAATCACTCACCCACTGCCTGGCTCCGTCGCCATTTCTCCCTATTTGACCCTGCCTCTGACTCTGACTGACCTCTAGGCTCACCAACCGCGGCACCAGCTTCGCCGTGACTTGGGCCAATGGCCTGAAGAGTTCGCGTTCGGTTTGGGGGGATTAGACCAATCGTAGCCCGGCGATTTGTGGGCGGGTGCTGTTCCTAGGGTTACGAGGGGCTCGACGGGCGGTGACCAATGAAAGCCCGAGGACACTAGCATCCACGCGAACCTGAGCCCTGAGGCTGGAACTCCGAAGCCCCGCGTCTGTTGGGGGGGTGGGGAGGGGGGAGAAGACTCTGGAAGGCCATGTTACTATGGAAACTCCTCCGAGGCCGAAAATGAAAAAGGAAAATAAATAGCAGTGCTTTATGGATTTTTCTTTCTTTTCTGGTCAAATTCCAACCTCCTCCCGAGGGGTTGGGGGGTGGGAAAGGCCGGCTATGGGATTGTACGGTCTTCCGCCTGATGGGGAAACTGGGGCCCAGGTCTCAGATTCTGACTTCTCCACCAGGGGTCAGGGGCCCAGCCATAACGGTTGAGGAAATCCAAATCTCCTTATGAGAGTTGAGCCTTGTGTTGCCTAGCCCCACCCCCTCCAGTGTTTTACAGAAGAAACAGATCCAGAATGGCCCTGTGACTTGAGGTCATGGCAGACCAGTGCAGGAGCCAAGACTGACTGCCACCTTTGACCTCGGTTCCCCTGAAGATGACATCTGGGAAAGCCGGGTAGCTCCCAGGTTTTAAGTGATTAAAACTATAAACTAGCAACAACAGAAGCCCATACTGGGGCTTAGAACTGGAAGGAAAATGCTCTGTTTATATAAATCTAGAGGGTAAACTGGGATTAGAACAGACCAACACTTATCTTTACAGATGAGAAGCCCGAGGTTAAAGAAATTAGAAACTTGCCCACAGTCCCCCAGCAAATATAGGCAGTGGAATCTGGGGTTAGGTTTCCCCCTGCCCCACATCTATTTGGCTTCCTCCTACTAGAATTCTAGGCAGCCTGAAATCCGTGTTGAAGCCTTGATTGGTAGGAAGAGGATGAAGTTGGTCGTGGACTGCTATGACTTTGAATTTAAGGCATCACGTCCTTCGCACTCCACAACCTCCATTACATTCCTTCCCTGTTCAGGCAGCACGCAATTCACCTGCTTCTTTGATTTTATTAAAAAAAAAAAAACAACAACACAGGGGTGCCTGGGTGGCTCAGTGGGTTAAGCCTCTGCCTTCAGCTCAGGTCATGATCTCAGGATCCTGGGATCGAGCCCCGCATCGGACTCTCTGCTCAGCAGGGAGCCTGCTTCCCCCTCTCTGTCTGCCTCTCTGCCTACTTGTGATCTCTGTCAAATAAAAAAACAACAAAAAAGCCAAAAAAAACCTCACAACTTTTATTTAATATGAATAAAAATAAGTACAAATAACAGAATCTTTGTAAAGAGCAGCAACAGTCAAGGATCACCCTCTGTCCCTTTGTCCCTGAAAATAGGTCCTTTTACCAGGTATATTTTGTCTCACCCAATCCTGGGCAGGAGTTCATCTCTCTAATGGTAGTAATATCTGATCTCAGGAGTCAGGGCAGAAAGAGGGGTGACCTTTCAGCACGGAGATAACTTTGGCCTTGACACTGAAGGAGGCTCTGGAGGAATGACAAAGGTAGGGCAGAAAAGGGGTGGATTCAAAGGTCTGTCACACAGTGGGGTTCCTCTTCCCCCTCTTGTAACAATCTTCCTAGCCCTACCTAGGAAGACACTGGTGAAAATGCTGACCCCTGGCATGTCCTGCCTGCCTTGAGTTCCCAGACTTCCAAGGAGAGGGGTCTGTGGTCCAATGTGCCAGTGCAAGTGCTTCAGTTGTGAATCATGGCTCCAGCGAGAGGGAGTCCCTCCCCTTCCTCTGGCTTTCCCCAGAGGAAAGGGAGGCGGCCCACATCCTTGAAGTCCTCTGGCTGCTGACTGGGCTCAGGTGGCTGGCAGGGGTCCGCCCAGATGTGCACGATCTTGCGCAGGGTGGAACAGCGCTCCTCCAGCTCTGGCCCCTCCGTCTGCATGAGCAGGTTTGCCAGCTCCCTACTTAGGTCCTGAATCATGTCACTCCGTCCTTCTTTCCCAGGCTGGCCTGTGTTTAGGACAATGACGGGGTCCCGGAGCTCCCCACTGGGCCCAAGGAGGTGCTGGTACCTCTTCTGCCACTGGCGGCACACCATGGCTTCTCCCACGGGCTTCTGGCTGGTGTGCAGCAGGGCCAAAATGTGCCGGCATGGCAGGTGGTACCAGCGTTGAAAGGAACAGCTGCAGCTACGGCCGTCTTTGCTCACCTGGTGAGAATCCTCTAGTAGCTGAATGTCCACCGAGGAGCCAGCCAGGTCCACCAGGTGAGTGGAGTTCTGTACCACCTCCCACTCATTCTGGCACAGCTTGTAGGCCAGTTGGGAGCCACTGCCGTGCAAGGCGTCTAGCATGCCGCCCTGGGAGGGCCGCACCTGTGGCTGCTGCTCCAGCTCCACCCGCTGTGCGCCTGGCTTGGGCTCTTCCACGGCGAGCCTGGTGAGGCTCCCCCAACAGGCTCCGAATGCCTTCTTGGGCTTTGGTGGTACGCTGGCTGGCCGGGCTCTCTTTAACTTGGGAGGAGCTGTGGGCAAGTTCTTCAAGCCTTTGGTATTAAAGAAGTCTATATAATCCACGAAGTGGAGGATGCAGTCCGGCAGAGACTGCTGTTCCCGGAAGAGGCTGGACACCTTGCTGGTGACCACGTCTAGGCTGTCCATATACGTGTTACACGCGTGCAGGCCTTTCCTCACGTGCATGTACCAGAGCAGTTCACAGGAGAACCAGTGGGCCTGCAGGAAGCCGAAGAGCTGCTCATCTAGTAGGGCTTGGGACATCTGACGGAGATTTTGGAGGCTGGTGTCAGAAGTGAGAAACACGGCCTCCCGCAGGGCTTCCTTCATGAGCCTTTTAAAGGATGGATTTGCGGAACTCCGATGCAACTTCTTCTCCAGGAGCCGGGTGGTGTGGTAGATGGAGAGGAGGATACGCGCAGCAGGGAAGATCTCCTGCAGGATGGCTCGGTGAGGGAAGGACGGGTCCACAAACACCACCTTGACCTTGGGCCAATCGGAGTTGAACTCTGTGAAGATACTCAGCATCTTGGCCACGGAGGTAGCCGTCTCAGCCTGGAGCACAGCAAAGTGTACCACGCGACCCTCTCGTTCCTTGTTCTCCACCAAGAAAGCATAAAGGATGTGGCCCTGGGCATTCTCCACCCGGTGTAGCAAGAGATTCTCTGGGAAGCGGATGAACAGATCACTCATCTTGCTGCTCTGGAAGCTGAGCCGGTCCAGGTCTTGGCTGTTGCCCACGCTGAGAGAGGCCATGGAACCCTCATCTACCTTAAGAAAGTTCTTCATCACTTTTGCTATCTTGGCCAGGTCAGAAGGAGTGATGCCCTCCTGCTCTGGCTTTGAGGGTGCTTGGGCCTTATCTAAGCAAAATGATGGTTCAATGGGGGACTTCTCGGCCAGGTCAAGGTCTTTCTCGATCGCAGACTTCTCAGGCTGGGGTTTCTGCAGGCACACTGTCTTCTGAGATTTGTCAGCAGTGTCCCCTCTAGGACCTGCAGGTTTGGAGTCAACATGGATATGCTGGGTGTTGAGTTCACTGATGAACAGTCTATCCAGTTTCTCATTATATCGTAGAAGCAAGTACGCTGGGCACATATCCGCCTCTGAGGTTCTCTTCCTGTTTGACTGAGTCCGAATACAGACAAATTTCACCTGCATGTATCTAGAGAAGGTAGAGGTGACAGTGAGAAAGGTGCTGCCTGCCCCTTTCTCTTAGAAGACAAGACCCTGGGGACGCCTGGGTGGCTCAGGTAGTTAAGGGTCTGCCTTCGCTCAGGTCATAATCCTGGGGTCCTGGGATTGAGTCCCACACTGGGCTCCTTGCTCAGCAGGGAGCCTGCTTCTCCCTCTTCTCTGCTCTCTCTCTTTCCCAAATAAATAAAATCTTAAAAAAAAAAAAAAAAAAGACAAGACCCCATAGGGATACAGTGGCTGGTATGTGTCCCAGAGATCACGAGGCAGTGTAGGATGTAGGGAAGGGAGACTGACATTCACACTCCAATCCCAAAGTGTTTGACTCTTTTATCAAGACCCTGTCCAACTAACACGGCATTCATTTTCATCATCCGCAGTTCTAAGCCCCACTCCTTTCATTCACCCTCTATGGCCCATCTGTAGTTCCCAATGATTCAGTGTGAGGCAAGACACAAGGGAAAACAGACAACAGGCAGTAGCAAAGGGCCAGCTGGCTCCTCACTGTTTAAAATGTCCCCTTTAGGGGCGCCTGGGTGGCTCAGTGGGTTAAAGCCTCTGCCTTCAGCTCAGGTCATGATCTCAGGGTCCTGGGATGGAGCCCCGCATCGGGCTCTCTGCTCAGTGGGGAGCCTGCTTCCTCCTCCTCTCTCTGCCTGCCTCTCTGCCTACTTGTGATCTCTGTCTGTCAAACAAATAAATAAATCTTTAAATAAAATAAAATAAAATAAAATAAAATAAAATAAAATGTCCCCTTTGGGGGCACCTGCGTGGCTCAGTGGTTAAGCATCTGCCTTCGGCTCAGGTCATGATCCCAGGGTCCTGGGATTGAGCCCTGCATCCGGCTTCCTGCTTCTTCCTCTCCCATTCCCCCTGCTTGTACTCCCTCTCTAGCTGTGTCTCTCTCTGTCAAATAAATAAATAAAACCTTTAAAAAAAATGTCCCCTTCATTCCTGCCTTTGCCTTCTCTTCCTCCAGACAGTAAAGATACAAGTGGCCCTCTCTCACAGGAAACATCTCTATTAATCTCTCTTTTACTTAAACAAAAATGTCCAAATCCTAAGAGAGTCTGAAAACCCCTGGATCAGATGATCTTCAGGTCCCTGTCAGCTTTACCATTCTAGGCTGATAGTGAAGATTCAAAGGAGAGGGGTGATTAAATTGAAAATTTGCTCTTTTCCTATC